GTGGAGCAGCTGGTGAGATGTGAAGCTTTGGGTTGGCAACTGAATTTTTACCACAAATCACAATGAGGTATCATTTTATTTCCACTACAATGACTTTATAAAGTCAAAACAGAATATAGCAAACTAGAGAGAGGATGTGGAGTAACTGAAACTTTTTGTTCATGGCTAATTGGAAGCATGAGTGACATCAGCAATGATATTCCTGTTACCTTGACATCTTCTACACTCAGCTTGAACATCTGTCAATTCTCTGCCGATGTACTATTCAAGCAATTTTTGGATGATCTTCAGCAATATTTTGCTTGCATGTGATATTAACAGTATTGTTTGTTAATTTCCAAGTTCTGTTGGATTACTTTTCTTGAGAATGGGAACAAACACAGATATCTTTCAGTCAATTGATCAGATAGCTTTCTTCCAAATTTCCAGGCACAAACTGGGTTTTTATTTCTTACCATTGGTTATTTTTGGTACAATTTGAACTTTTTTCTTAATTATCATTGGCTTTTGATCATATAGTTGTTCTTGTTTTTAAGTGCCCTCTAGTTGTCTACAACTCATAGTGATCCTATGTACAACAGCTCTGAAGCCTGTCTGTCCTGAGCCAGTCTCACTGACTCTGACACATCTACCCCCATTGCCCTAGTTACCATATCAATCCATCTCATCTGGAGTCTTCCTCTCCTGCACTGTCTCTCCACCCTTCTGAGCATGATGTCCTTCTCCAAGAACTGATCCCTCCTTGGCCATGTGCCCAGTGTATGTGAGATGGCGCTTCAAAATCCTAGCCATCAATGAATAACTTAGTTTCACCCTCTTGAAGACAGACATACTTGCTTTCTTGATGGTCCATGGTATATTCAAGACTCTTCTCCAGCACCACAACTCAAAGGCATCAATTCTTATTCTTAGTCTCATTCTTAGTCATGTCCAGCTCTCTGATGCATTGCAAGAAATATGAAGACCATAGCCTGGATCAGGCATACCTTAGTCTCTAGACTGACAATGTTGCTTCTTAGTACTCTTGAGGGGTCCCTGACAGCAGATTTTCTGTGCAGCCTGTCTTTTGATTTCTTGACTACTGGTGCCAAGAATGTTGATTGTGCACCCAAACAAGCTGTAATTTTTAACAATCTCAATCTCTTCTCCATCTCTCATGGTGTTTCCAGTTGGCACAGTGGTGAGAGTCTTCATCTTCCTGCAGTTGAGCTTCAATCCATAACGAACATATGGTACTTCCTGAAAATTTCAGATTCAGCAAATTCACTGGGGAAGCTAACTCTATGAAGAAGAATGTGACATCAGGATCTGAGTAAGATCCATCAGCAACTTGCATTATGTAGACAACACAACCTTGCTTGCTGAAAATAAGGAAAATTTAAAGCACTTGTTGCAGAAGCTCAAAGATTGCAGCCTTCAATGTGTATTATATCTAAATATCAAGGAAACAAAAATTCTCACCACAGGACCTATAGGCACCATTATTATAGATGGAGAAAAGATTGAACATGTCAACAACTTTATCTATCTTGGATCCATAAGCAACACCCTTGGTGCCAGCAGTCAAGAGATCAGAGACATATTATTTTGGCAAAGGAAGCAGTCAGTAATGCCAAATTATTGAGAAGTAATGATTTCTACATGAAGACTAAGTTACACCTGATTCAAGCCATGGTCTTTTCAGTTGCTTGCTATGCATTTGAAAACTGAACAAGGACTAAGTTTGATTGAAGAATTGATGCCTTTGAGCTGTATTGTTGGAAAAGAGTACTGAATATTGCATGGATTGCCAAAAGAACAAACAGATGTCTTGAAGAAAGTACAGCCAGAGAGCTTCTTGAGGCAAAAATGATGAAGCTTTGTCTTACATACTTTGAACATATTATTAGGAGAGATTGTTACTTGGAGAGGAACATTATGCTTGGAAAGGTTAAAGGTCAGGGAAAGAAGACCCTCAATAAAATGGATTGACACAATGACTGCTATAATGGGCTTGAGTATGTAAAAATGATGAGGATGGCACAGAACAGGACAGGGTTTTAATCAGTTGCTCATAGGTTATTATTAGTTATACTTGACTCAAAGCATCTAACCACAAGCATAACCACCACCACCACCACCATAACAACAACAATGACAATATAACAGCACTTATATTTAGAATAAGGAGATGCATAGGCCCAAAGTAGATTACCAATGAATGCCATAGTCTCTGTTAGGGGCAGGGCAATATTTATGGCAAACCTAAAGCAGTAAAAAAAATGAGTTTCACGATACTTAGGTCAGTAAAGGAGAGAGATCCTCAAAGAGATGAGTTGACATGGTGACAGTAGCAGAGGGTTCAAGTGTCTTGGAGATGGTGAGGATGGTACATGATAGGACAGGTTCAGATCTATTGTTCATAGAGTTGCTATGAGTTGTTCTTGAATCAGCTGCCTCTAACAACAACATGACAAGTTTTTGAGACTAACGATATCATTATATAACTGCCAAATTGAAGTATCTGTGGAAACTGAGGGCCAGACATAAGGATATATATCAACTTTTAAATGAGTATGATGGATCTTATTATGTAGTAATGGAAATATTTTAAACTTAGGTAGTGGTATTGATTTAGTAACTTACTGAAGTACTACTTTAAAATCACTGAAGCATACTCTTAAAATAGGCTAATTTTTACTTTTTCAAATTATTCAACAACAACCAGAGCCAAATAGGGGGAAATAGATGATTTCTACCAACTTTTGCAGTCAGAAATTGATCAAACATGCAAGAAGCATTAATAATAATTGGTGACTGGAATGTAAAAGTTGGGAACCAGGAAGAAGGATAAATAGTTGAAAAATATGGACTTGGTGACAGAAATGAGCCTAGAGAAAGAATGACAGAATTCTGCACAATGACTTATTCATAGAAAATACCTTTTATAAGAAAAATGAATGCAGGCTATACACATGGACTTCACCTGATGGGGTGCATGGGAATCAGATTGATTACATCTGTGGAAGGAATTGTTGAAGAAGTTCAGTATCAGCAGTGAAAACTAGGATAGGTGTTGCTTGTGGAACAGACCATCAATGACTAATATACAAGTTCAAATTAAAGCTAAAGAGGTCAAATCAAATCCACAGGAATAAAATTTTGATCTTCACTCTGTCCCACCTGAATTTAAAAACTAACTCAGGAAGAGGTTGATGAGGTCTTGCACACTAAGGAATGAATGTCAGATGACCTGTGGAAGGATATCAAGAATGTTATCCACGAAGGATGCAAAATGTCATTACAAAGGAGGAGGAAGAAGAAAAACCAAAATGGATGTCAGAAGAGACTCTGAATATTGTACTAGAGTGTTGAGAATCCAAAGCAAAGGGAAGAAATCAAGTAGTTAGGGAGTGGAATAGAAGATTTCAAAGGGAAGCTCAGGGATACAAAACAAAGAATTATAATGAATGTTCAATAAACTGGAGTTAGAACTTGTTCTGCATTTCTTAAGCTGAAGGAACTAAGGAACAAATTCAGGCTTTGAGTTGCAATACTTAAGGATGCTATAGGTAAAATATTGAATGATCCAGGAAGCATTAAAAGAAGATAGAAGGAATATACAGAGTCACTGTACCAAAAAGAGTTGGCTGACACATAAAAATTTCAAGGAGAAACCAATGATCAAGAGGCAATGATGCTTTCTGCGCTACCCACACAAGGGTCCATACAGCATTGTCCTGGTTCCTGTCATAACTTAAAGGGGAAACTTCCACAATGTCCAGAAATATCCTGCAGATGAAGGAAGAGGATGTCCTCAAATTCCTTGCAGCAGGAACACATTTGGGCAGCAACACATTTGGGCAGCAACAACCTTGACTTCCAAATGGAACAGTACAACCACAGAAGGAAAAGTGATGGCATCTACATCATAAGCCTGAAGAGGACCTTGGAAAAGCTTCTCTTGGCTGCTCATGCCATTTTTGCCATTGAAAGTCCAGCTGATGTCAGTGTCATATCCTCCAGAAATACTGGCCAGAGAGCTGTTCTGAAGTTTGTTGTTGCTACTTGGGCCACTGCTATTTCTGGGTGTTTCATTCCTGGAATCTCACTAACTAGATCCAGTCACCCTTCATCTTCTGGTGGTTACTGACCCCAGGGCGTCCACCAGCCTCTGACAGAAGCATCTTAGGTTAACTTGCCCATCATTGCCCTGTGTAACACAGATTCTCCTCTGCAGCGTAGACATTGCTATCCCATGCAACAACAAGGGAGGGAGCTCACGCCATAGGTCTGAATTAATTGGGGGGAGGTGAGTACTGAGACTAGTGTAATGAGTGTAAGGATTATGATTATTATTAAACTCTATGTTATCAAGACCTTTAAAGGCTAGAACTTTGTTCTATGGATTTGATAATGATGACAGTCAAGATGAACTGAGGTGTCCAGTAAAGGTAGCAGAGGTGGTATTAAAATATTTCTTGGCAAAAATAATAATACAGCAAGGAAACCTGGAAGCAACAACCCGAAGAATAGCAGCTGTAGAGATCAGAGCTATGAATTTATAAAGTTAGGTCTTGAGTTATTTACATTGTGGTGCATGCAATAACTTTCTTCTGTTTTTTAAAAAGTCATATACATATATATATTTTTTTGTTAAATATGATGTGGATTTCTATTGCTGTTTTAAATAACCATTGATGCCTGTGTAAAGGAATAAGATAAACTAGAGGCTGCCTAATACATCATAGCCATAGATAAGTTACAAGTAATTTCAATATTAATCCTTAGCCCTAATTTCTCTATCTTATGTCCATATACTTATTTTTTTGTATCTAGTTTTCTGTAAAACATTATCTGCTCCTTTTTACACAGTAAATCTAATTAATTATATTTCTCTTATGTTAACAATGCAACTTATTTTTTTTACTACTGTTAGCCATTTAGAAAAAACAGAAAACTGAAACAAACCATAAAACAAGTATCACTGATGTTTGTTCTTTTATTCTTTTACCTCATAGATAATGCCAGCTGGTGAACTTTGTAGGAAGTCATATGACGATTGTGATTTTCCTGAATTCTGTCCTGGGACAAGTGGTGAATGTATGCCTGACACCTATGCACGGGATGGATCTCCTTGTGCATCAAATGAAGGTTACTGTTTTAAGGGAAAATGCCATTCAGTTGACAGACAATGTAAAAATTTATTTGGAGGAGGTAACGACCATAAATTTCTTCTTAGTTTCTAAATTCTGATTATTAAGAAACTCTATTATTCAAATCTATATGGTAAGAATACAGGGTAATTTTTAACTGAGTGAAATTAGCCTTGTCTTAAAATCTAGTAGTGTTAAAGGAAATCACAACTCTTGATTCTTAAAAACAAAACCAACTGAATTTATTCTAAATTCTTAATTTACTCAGTGGAATTTCAGCTTCTTAGCAAATAATATAGAATTCAGGGTGCAAAAGCTTTGTTTACACTTAAATGATTTAGCAGGGCTTTGGTTAGAGGAAAATACTGCTAATTAACAGATAAGTTTCCATGGAGGATCTGTTCCAAGGGGATTGCTCAGGAGTGAGGGCCTCAAGTCACAAAAGGCCTAGGCCTTCCTCTGCTAAGACTGAGATACCATCTCAGAGAGTAGGACAGGTTCAGTATCCTGGGGAGATTTAGATTCTAGCAAGGAATTAGAGTTTATGCTGAAGTGTGAATTGTTGTTTGTTGTTATGTGCTGTCCAGTCACCTGCG